TATTTGTTACGGAACCGACAGAACCAGTGATAAATATTACAATCCGGCAATGCTGTTTTCCATTGGACTGGCGAGACCACAAAGCACGTATCTTCTAGAAAAGCGCCACCTTGAGTTTAGAGCAGGAACTAAAATGACAATTGATAGATGGCGGTAAATTAAAATTATAATTTTTAGGAGTAGGTAATAGTTTTAAATTAAATTTTAAATGATTTCCACATAAATTATTTTATAAAATAAAGTATGGAACTAGTAAGTTCGAAACTTTTATTTTACAAAATAATTTAGGTCGATTATACCAAATTTGAGGAATTAATTTGTTATAAGGGGTCTGATGTGGAGAGTTGGTTTTGCATATTAATATTAAATAAATATAAGATGTATCAATAAATAATAAAATAGAACATTCTTAATATGTTTATTAATAACTTGAATAAATATAAGTGTTCTAGTTATTTAATTTTAAACTCAAAATGCCACGATGTATTTTGAGAAATTGTATATACTTATAATACAAGTACCAATGTTATGAAATATAAAAAATATATTCGTTTTCAGCGGTAAATATTTATTAACGTTTTGACATAAAGCGCCATAATCCTTTGAGCTGAATACATCAGATCCGCATTAAGGGGTTTCAATAAATATTCATCAAAAACATATTTCAGAAAACAGATTTCGTATTACTTACATAAATTTACAAAAGGATAAAATTTTAAATATTTAATTTAAATAAGAAGTAAATAGACATTGTTGCTAACGAAATTTTGTTTTTAAAAAGTAGTTTTATAAGAATATTTACCAAAGGTGGTTTTTAGCTCTTTTTGGTAGATAAATAAGAAGAAGCATAGTTGATTAGTAGTATTTTTATAAGAATATTAGATAAAATACAGGATGAATAACTTAAAATTTCAAGATAATGTAATAATCGATTTTAAAGGAAATAAAAAAGGAAAATTTATTCAAAATAATCTATTGATTGAAAATAATCGTTTTTTTGGAAAAATCGATTTATCGTTTAATCGGTGTTTTAATGAATCGATTATTTTCGATTAATCGATTATTTTCAAATTTTCAAAGGTATATGAAAATAATTGATTGATCGAATATAATTCGGTATTTTATATAACCAATATTTCGGTTATTTTTTAGAAATAACGATTTATCGGTTAATTAGTTTTTTAATAATTATTAATTATTTTCGATTTATTTATTTTTATCGATTCTAAATTTTTCAAAGATAATAGAATAATCAATTTTAAAGGAAATATGAAAAGGATTATTAGAAAATAATCAATAATTCGGTTATTTTTTTGGAAAAAGATTATCGTAGAATCGGCTTCTTAACTAATCGATTATTTTCGGTATTTCAATGATAATCTAATCATCGATTTTAAATGAAATACAATAAAAATAAATTATTGATAATAATCGACTATTTTCGATTAATCGATTATTTTCGAATTCTTAAAGGTATATGAAAATAATCGATTGATCGAATATAATCGGTTATTTTATATAACCAATATTTTAGTTATTTTTTAGAAATATCGATTTATCAGTTAATCAGCTTTTTAATAATGAATAATTATTTTTGATTTATCAATTTTTATCGATTATTTTCGATTTTTCATAGATAATAGAATAATCAATTTTAAAGGAAATATGAAAATAATTGATAATTCGGTTATTTTTTTGGAAAATAGATTTATCGTAGAATCGGCTTCTAAATTAATCGATTATTTTCGGTATTTCAATGATAATCGATTTATCGATTTTAAATGAAATACAATAAAAATAAATTACTAATAATAATCGATTGATCTAAAATAATCGATTATTTAAAATAATCGACAATTCGGTTTTTTTTTGAAAATCGATTTATCAGTTAATCGACTTTTTAATTAATCGACTATGTTCGATTTTTCAAAGATTATCGAATAATCTGTTTCAATGGACTAAAAAAAAATGGATTATTTGAAAATAATCGATTATTTAAAATAAACGATAATTTTTTGTAAACACTGATTTATCGGTTAATTGGCTTTTTAATTAATCGATTATTTTTGATTTTTCAAAGATAAGGAAGTAGTCTATTTTAAAGGAAATATGAAAAACAATTAGATTGAAAACAATGGATTGATCGAAAATAATCGATTATTTTCAATGATCGATTATTATTTCGACAATCACTCATCCTCTATATTAATTAATATTCCTAAAGAAAGAAGCTGAGGTTACAATACAAAACAGCATTTTCTCATTTTGACTAATTTTTAATATTATGTAATAGCCGTAGAAAAAATATAATGTTTGACTCAAAAGGTTTGATTTGCAGTATTCGCCTGCGCACATGCTTTTTTATAATACTCGTAGACAATGAGTACCATTTCTTGCTCTATTAACAATATTCTATTTCTGAAAAGTCCGTAGTAAATAAACGCTAATGAAATATTCTATAAAAGGTCTTTTTTACATAAAATGTCGTGCATCTGTTTGATATTAAAAATCACGTTAATTTTATTTCATAATACAAAATTCCATTAAACATATATTTTAAATAAATCTAATAGTTCATTTTGATTCTAATAAACAAAGTCCGGTCCTTGTCAAAGAGTTCGGGTCTCTGCACAGTACCCCCACTCCGTTAACCTTTCTTTAGAAATTGGCAAAATTTGCGCAGGTTAAACATCGGTGTATGTTATATATCTGGTCTCTTTTATCTAAGCATTTTATTAACACTAAAGTAATATATTTTATAAATGTCTTTTTAACCGAGGACAAATGTAATATAGGAATTGTATTAAAAGGGAAATCCTTTTAACTATTCATTCAATGATAAATAGGTATTTTCCTTCCAAATACAGATGGTGGTATTACTCTCTTATGTGAAAAATGATTTCGGAATCCAGTCCAGTGATAAATTGATTATCAATTAGTTGTTGTACCCGTTTGTCTTTTTATGATGCATGGTGAATCAATGAAGTTTTTCTCGAAGTTTTCAACGTAGCACCAAAATTATTGCAAAACACAGTAGGAAATAGAAAAGCAAAACATCACAATTTTGCAAATAACTAAGACGAAACTATAAACAGAAACCAAAAGCCAAAGCCAACAAAAAATCACTAAAATCAGACGGAAAAATGAGACTACCCAAAAACATAAATAAATACACGTCATATATTTGGATTCTTTGGTTAAGTTTTTCTCCCATAAAGCTTAAAAATGGAGTAAGAAATCATAATTTCACCAGTAGCCCCATCTAGAGTTTGGAGCAAATAGCATAAAAAATGTCAGTTGTCGGTTTTGACCTTGGTTATTCCCTCAGAGCATTGAGTAAACGAATATAACAAGAGAAGCAACGCTTATGCACCGACCGTACCCTGCAATGGTTCTGACAAATAGATGGCGAATACAGTCATTTGGTTCTCAAATTCTCAGTCGACTGCTTATCATCATTCGGTGAAGAGCTCTGGGCGATCGATTTTGGCGGTTATTTACAATATTTTGTTAGTTTTGATTTTCATAATTTGTGACAATGAACGTTACGGCAACTCATAAGTGCGTTTTTGTTGGTTGTTCTAATAGCAGTAGAACGAATGCTGTGACCAATAATAGTGTTGCAGGCCACAAAAAAGCTTGGAGGGCCGCATGCGGCCCGCAGGTTAAGTATGGCTGGATTAGATATGGTAGCAACATCGATTTCCCGAATCTTATAGTAAATTCTCCTTCATGTTTATTTTTTGCCTCTAATCCATTATCATAAACTTTCCTGCCTAAATAAGGCCAAAAATTCTTCGATGAGGAGTGCTTGGGGTACATTAGGTGTGGATTATTTTCTCTGGGACATTATTTGGCTTTCAACCAATCTCTGGATTGCTTGGCATAGGAACCAGATGCTAGATCAGGCCAAAACACGATTTCATCATTATTGTCATGATTTTTTATAAATCATAATAATTTAAGCAAACATATTTTTGTATATATATATATATATAGAAAAAAAAAAAAGGGTTATTGGGAAATACCGCAAAAAAAAGAGAGAAAAAAGCCTGAAGGGCAAACCGTAGACACGTGTTTCTGACTATTGGTCTTCATCAGTACGGTGCAGCCAAGTTCAAGACAGAATGGAACTATTCACCGCACTAAACCTTTTCATATATATATATAAAGACCTGCAGTGATGGCTTCTTCTCTAATATGTCCTACATGTGACCGATGCACCTGCCGAAGAAATGGTGCACCATACCAGAATTTAATCTTCAAATTTAGTTCTCCTTTTAAATTTCCCATAATCTGAAGCTGCATTGAAATTCTCAGTACAGCATTCATCATTCTCTGTTTAAACAAGGTATTTCTTTCTCACATTCTGTTATTATTCAGTAAATAGTACTGGAGATATTAGGTCCTTGAAATATGTTTATAATATCCGCATTTTGCATTTGGCCAAATAAATTATATATGCTTTCTCGTATTTCGATTTTGTACGCCATGTTACAATTTTTTTTGACAACTGTCAATATTTATGATGACAAGGCCAACTTGAATGTTTTCCAGGCAATGGTATATTGAGATGGCATCTTTTCAGTGTTAATAATTAGTTTCAAAATTTGTCTCAAAACTTATATTATGCCATTTAAATATTTGCTTATTTTTGCAGCTCGCGGTGTTAAATTTCAAATCAATTGAAGACCAATTAACAAAAACGGCATATGTCCAAGTTTTAATTTTTTTTAGAAAAAAACTAGTCCTAACACACTTTGCAAAATAGCTCTATATTTGACAGTGAAGCTTTGTTTCTGTTACTTTTGTAGAAAATCACTATTTGGGCCCAAAAATGTTGTGCTTATGGGGTCACCTTATTATTCTTTATCTATGGGTCACCTGGATGGTTCTTAGCTGTAGTTTGACCTGGTAGGTCATATTCGGATATGGCTGGTTGTCACCCTCAATAAATCTGAAGGAAATAAAACTACAAAAAAATATTTTATTGTTTTAATTCACAAATTAAAATCAACTTCTCTCACATCACTAACTACACTTTTCATTAATTTTCCATAAAAAGTGTTTGCCTTTTTAGAAAATGAAACCCTTGAGTTGACAAAATGGTAAAAACTGTCTCCAAACGATGCAACAGTATATGCTTCATCCTGGTTTATTCTAGTCGTGCAGAAATTTGTGATTAGAACCTAAAATTACATAAAAATCTTAACATTACAAATTCTTGTTAACTATTTAATAATGGGCTTATAAGAACTTACAACCAAATTATATTTGTCAGACAAATATCTTAGTAGTTGAAAAATTTTATTTATCGTATTGAATCTCTCTGGTATTTCCATTTGTCGCAAAATATAAGAAATACTGTCTATAACTAGTAAACGGACCTGTAAATATTGCGTTATAATTATTATACACATAAAAATTACCTTGTCTGAACTTTGATCTAATAACAAAAATACCTGATTCTTTTAGAAACATAAGGCAAATTCAGGACAACTTAACTTGTTTCTGCATTAAAAATAATTCTAATTCGAAAATACAGGCCAAAAATTCAACTGGATTGTTTACTTTTGTGTAAAAAATATGACTTAAAATATATTCAACATTGAACACTTCTGTATCCCTCGAGAATTCTTCTACAAATTCGAAAGCTATGTCTACAAATAAATTATAATTATATTATTATACAGGGTGTCCCGAAATTAGACGGTCATATTTTAACAGCGTAATCTACATCCTAAAATAGGAGTAAAAGTTTTTATAAACAAAGGTCCGAAAACGTTTCTTTTTCGAGATACAGGGTGTTAAAAGTGAAGTCCTGATGACACATTTTTGTAAATATTTTCTAAACGCTTAAAGATAACTAAATGAAATTTGGTACAAATGCTTACCTTTTTACGCTCTATGTAATGGACTAAATCTTAGTTTTTGATCATCTTCATAGATAATAATACCCATAGATGGGTAAATTAGGGGGGGGGGGGGGGCTTAAGGTAAAATTGCCCTAAGTTTTTTTGTTGTCAGTTTTTAACATTTTTGACTAAAAAATTTGGAAACCCAATATTTTCTTTACAATAAAGCTACTCTTACTGCATCTCGCTAGGATGCACCATTTTCAAGAGAAACGCATTTGAAAATTTCATGATAAATTCATATTATCTTATTCGAAAGTGCAAACAAAAATTAGTAGGCCTGGAATCCAATAGCTGCTTTTCAATTTTTTGAGACGCTGTGATAAACAAAAATTGGCTGTCAATTGTGTAATTATTTGTACTTTTTTTGCGTGAAAGAAAAATACTTCTAATAAATGGAGAGATTTTCAAATAGAGAATTGGCAGATATTCATTTTGTATATGGTTTGTGTAATGGAAGGGCAAGAGCAGCGGTCCGAGAATACCGTAGACGGTTTCCTAACCGAAAAATTCCTGACTACCGTGTATTTATTAATACACATAGAAATTTGGTTGACCATGGTTCATTTCAACGTGATCGTGGACAAGGGAGACCACATGGGAACAACAATTTGGAACACGCCCTTAATTTATTTGAAGAGGACCCAAGAAGGAGTATTCGAACTGTTTCCACCCTTTCAGAAATACCACGAGCAATAGTAAGTAATAATTACTTCCCTTTTTCTTTATACTATTTTGTGATTCTTAGTTTTTATTGCTCAAATTTACAAGTACAAGTATTAGAAATTAAAAATTTAAACAAACCGACTTCAAAAACGTGCAGATGCCATCACCACATCTTAACCAAATTTATATGGGACTTCCTCTGAGGTATCCCCTTACTAACAAAAAAAAAATAATCATATAAATCGGATAAGGTGGTAAAGCATTATCGCTAAACATACATAAAAAATGAAGAGTTTGAGGATTGTCTCATGGACCCAATTATTAGATTTTGACCAAATTTATATGGGACCACTCCTGTAGTACCCCCTTTCTATAAAAAAAAAATCATTGAAATCGGACACCGTGTTAAAGAATTGTCGCTGAAAATACATAAAAAAAAATATCGCGACGAATTGAGAACCTCCTCCTTTTTTGAAGTCGGTTAAAAATAACACAAACAAGTTTCAGATTGAAGGCATTTTTAAATTCTTACTTTAGTTTACGTGTCTTTTAAAAAATATGTTCATTTAGGTTGGAAGAATGTTAAGAATGCAGGGTATTCATCCCTATCATTATCAGCGTGTTCAAGCCTTAAGACCCCACGACTTTTTACCACGAATGGAGTTTAGTGAATGGATAAGAAACCATCAGGAACTGCTTCTTTTTATTACATTTAATAGAGATGGTGTTTTTAATATTCACAATCACCATTTTTATTCACAAGAAAATCCTCGAGTGGTGCGACGTCGATTTTTTCAAGATAGATTTTCTATTAATGTTTGGGCGGCAATAATCAATGACAGATTAATTGGGCCGATTGAAATTCCTGCTCGGTTAAATGCAATTGAGTATCTGAATTTTTTACAAACCCACCTTGAACCCATTCTGGATAATCTCCCATTAAATATCGACATCAGCTGCACTTTCAGCACGACGGAGCGGCAGCCCATTATGGCGTTAATGTGAGAAATTGGCTAAATGAAAGATTTCCGGGTAGATGGATAGGAAGAGGTGGTCCCATACCGTGGCCACCTCGATCTCCGGTTTTAAATCCATTAGATTATTACTTTTGGGGTCGTATAAAAGATATGGTATACGCTACAGAAGTTGACAGTGCGGAAGAGTTGCGTGAAAGGATACGTTTGGCAGGGAATGAAATACGGCAAAATAATTTTGAAGTAATGCGAGCTTCACATGCAATTACCCGTAGAGCCGAAATGTGCCTTCGTCAGCAAGGCAACGTGTTTGAACACTTACTTTAAATGTTGTATAAATTGATATTTTTAGTAGAATTTTTGTTATTTTTAATAGAATTTTTGTTATTTTTAGTAGTATAGACAAAAACAATTTTTGAGATTCATTTGTTTATCGTCGTCATTTTGACCTATTTTAAGTCATCCTTAGGAAAATAAAAGTAGATACTTCACGTTAAAAAGCTTAAAATTATTATCAAATAGCATTTGCAATAATTAAAAGTAGGTAACTAATGATTTCTTCTCTAACTCAGTCAAACTTCATATTTTCAAGAAATTACCAGCTATTCTTAATTTCAAATACAGTTTTGCTATAATTTTACGATATTTAACGTATCTGACTTCTTTTTACCATCCTAAGGATTACCCTAAAAGAGTTTAAACGTCGGCAGTTAAAGAAATAAATTCTCATCAATCATTTTATTGGGCAAAAGCCAACCAAACCATTAAAAAAAAAATTGATTAGTTTAAGTTTAAATACTATTTAGTTTTAACCATTTAAAGTTTCTTTATAAAATAAACATTAAATTAAAGCTAAATACATTTCTTTAGTCACCGGTTTTCCAAACCTGAAAAAAAATTCTGATTCCACAGGCCTGCTAATTATTGTTTGCACTTTCGAATAAAATAATATGAACTTATCATAAAATTTTCAAATGCTATTTTCTTGAAAATGGTGCGTCCTAGCGAGATGCAACAACCTGAAAAAAAATTCTGATTCCACAGGCCTGCTAATTATTGTTTACACTTTCGAATAAAATAATATGAACTTATCATAAAATTTTCAAATGCTTTTTTCTTGAAAATGGTGCGTCCTAGCGAGATGCAACAAGAGTAGCTTTATTGTAAAGAAAACATTGGGTTTCCAAATTTTTTAGTCAAAAATGTTAAAAACTGACAACAAAAAAACTTAGGGCAATTTTACCTTAAGCCCCCCCCCCCTAATTTACCCATCTATGAAGATGATCAAAAACTAAGATTAAGTCCATTACATAGAGCATAAAAAGGTAAGCATTTGTACTAAATTTAATTTAGTTATCTTTAAGCCTTTAGAAAATATTTACAAAAATGTGTCATCAGGACTTCACTTTAAACACCCTGTAATCTCGGAAAAGAAACGTTTTCGGACCTATGTTTATATGAACTTTTACTCCTATTTTAGGATTTAGATTACGCTGTTAAAATATGACCGTCTAATTTTAATCAATCAATATGGGATTATTTAGATATTTACCTCTTAATTTTTCAATCGAAAAATTACCATTTGTGCTTATATAGAAAGCTTCGCCCCCACAACCTCCGCAACTTTTTGGCAGTTGAACTGATACACTAAGTTTTAAACTAAAACAGAAATACCTACCTATTTGTAGTTTTACTTAAAAAAAGGTACTTCCGCAGTTTTATGCAATTAATGTTCATTTTGTTTTAAGATATAATTATTAATGAGTTACCTTACCATATTGGAGTGGTAGAATCAAAATGACCGGTAAATTCAATAATTTTTCTAGGTACAATTACATTTTTAAGTATTTCATCTAATTTTTCATTATAACTTAAAATACAGCCACTCAATAGTTCTTCTTTCAGCAAATCAAATGCCGATTTGAATTCAAATTTAGAACTATCTGGTGGATTTCCAAATTTGCTTAAAATTTTCTTATTATGCGACAAATTCAAAGAGCTAAAATCTAAACTTTTAATCATGTTTATATTTTTAATAAAAATAAGTGGTATTTCTTTTAGGTTCTGTATTTCTTCTTTCTTGTAGAGATGAGCTTAAAATCGCGAACTGCGATTTAATCGCAGCGATTTTACATTTTACAATCGCATGCTCGCAAGTCGCAACATACCCTTTACTAGCTGGGAGATCAGTGAAGGCAACAGCCCCCCTCCCTCCGGACAACGATGCCTTATCCTCTATAATTTACATACATGATATCGTTTTGTCAACGATTTTAAGTTCTCACAGCTAACGGAAATACAGACATTTTAATTAGAATATTACAAATAATCCTTTTATCATCTGATAAGGTATAAATCAGTTCTTATCTTCAGACTACACAATTACTATTTATAATATCATTATTTTTTGTTCCCTGATTTTTTGATTTATAACATTTGTATCGTGATAATATTTATATGAATTTAATTATAATTGTAGTTTTGGTCCAAATGTTAAGTACAGCCCTATAATTTACAACAAAGGTTTTTTGCTAATATTAAATTTCAAAAAGTAAACAATAATGTTTAACGAAGAAATATGGAATCAGAAAACATTGCTCAAAGTTGTGGTGAGAAAGAATAACATATATTTGTATGGGGCAATTACATTTTACAGATAGAAAACAGGTTTACTGGAAAATAAATAACACTTGGCAACAATGCAACAACCTAACCTAGAAATTCTTCTTCCTTTATTGGGATAATTTACTTTACCCATAGAAAAACTAAAAATTTACCCAAAACCCAGGGCTGGTATATCTAAGGGGGTCGCGACATAGACCCAGTAAATGGATGAGGGGGTGACTGAGGCTAGGGGGGAAATAGTAGTCAGCTTAAGTTGGCAACACTTTTCTGATGTTCGTTTGAACGAGCATCGTGCATAATAATGTCAATATGGTGCAAGTGGAATGAACCACTGTTTTCCTCGTAGTCGTAGTATGGTCTGTGGTAGTAATGTCGAATTAAAACTAAAAACATTTTGTACTTTTTTATATACCAAATTATGCAATTTGTTTCCACTTTATTTTAATGTTACATGAATAAGTACATGCGTTTGTGCTGTGGTAAATAAGTGTTCATGTGAAAATTATATCTTAAACTACATTGTGACTGCACGCATCTCGAAAGTGAATGCTGTAAATCCAGGATTTAAATCTTTCATAATGTTGCTTGGGATAAATTGTAAAAAAGGTGTTGGACAAAACCATTATTAAAGAGAAATTAGTTATCATCAATAAGATATTTTGTAGTAGCTGGTCTCTATAAATAATAAACTTGAAAGACTGAATTAGTAGTCACTTTTACACTAGAAGTAAAAACAAAAAAAAAGTGTGGTTGAGACTAATTTGTGTATTTAATAAAAACATATTTAACATAAAAGCAGGTGTTATTTGAAATGTTTTATTTTAGTTTAATAATCTTTATAAATTGTGGGTACATTTGATCTGAATCTTGCAAATACTATAATATGCATATGCTTCTATATGGTTAGTATTGGAGTAGAAGCACAAAAGTTTTGAATAAAAATATATTCTTTAAATACAATATTCACTAGATATGCTAATTTTCTATTTGAAACCATACATGTTTTCTATTATAGTTTTCATACATTTATAATTCTGGAGATACCGAAATGTTTTGCTTGATTACTAAACTTTGGATGTTTTTGTTGTAGTCTGCTGTTAACACTATTGTCCTGAAATATTAAAAAAGCTAGACAAAGGTTTGTCCAACTCTTTTGTCAGCTTTGTTAATCTATGCTACTGTTATTCTGCATGTAGACATTTTTTACTGGAGATTTTCTCTAAGAACTGTATTCAATTTCAAATTTCGGCCAGTTTTACGAAAGTACCTCTGTTGTAAAGGTATTTCAAAGCCATCCTTTGTGAGATGTAGACAACAAATACATGCTAAAATGTATAGAAAACAAATCGCAAGATATTACACAAAATTATTTAAATTAACTAAAAACATACAAATGAAGTGAATAATACCTACCAACAATTTAAAAAGACCTAAAATAAATAGACTTAAGGGACTGGAGCTCTAAAAAAGGGAGCAATAATTTGTTATGCATCATCTATAAGAAAAGTGTCTTCATCTCTTCAATTACCTTTTAAAATAAACAAAACCAAAACAGCACAAAATTGAATGTGATCTACTTTTCTCGACGTATTCTATGTACGTCTGAGATTAATAATTTATTAAATTGAAATATTTTATCCTAAAAAATATGGGCATTTTATAATGGAAATGTCATTTAAAAAATGACAGATTTTTTTTCTTATATTGGTAAACCTGGCGACTACAAGTTGCCACGTTGCCAGATCAATGGCGACTACTATTTCGAAAAAAATGGCGTCCAAAATGGACTCCTATGTCGCGACCCCCCTTAGATATACCAGCCCTGCCCAAAACCTAGAAATTATTTATTTTGTAATTCTTATATACAGGGCTAGCATGGACTTTTTTTTTCTATGAGCATGGAGGAAGGATAATTAGGCGCCAGTGTTTTTGTCTAATTTATTTTTAATTAAAAATAATTGTGAATTTATTATATCTGTGAATAAACAGAACCGAACTATTACGGTTTATCACCTGGGACATTTTGAGATTTCCTGTCGCACCTATAGGGTTAAAAATAGTTGGGCATGTATTTGAAAAGACATCAACATCTTCTAAATGTTTTAAGTGATAAATATCAAACTTTCTAATACAATTTTAGATGAAACCAAGAATAGAATATGTCTATGCCTCCGCTTTACTAATAAGTATTTTACAAATAGTTATCTATTTTACTAATTTAGAATGTGAGGGTAAGTAAATATTTAATCGAATTTCAGTGTATTTCTGTCAATAAAAATAAAATGTTCCATTTAGTTGAAGGATGGGGTAAAGAATCAATAAGAAACATTAGCCTCTATATATCAGATGTAAATGCACAAATATTTCCAAAGGATTTTTGTCAAGCTTATTCTATGCTTTTGATAGTCGTATGTTCAGCTCCTGCAAATACAAATGCAAGACAAGCAGTCAGGGAAACATGGGGTAGCCAAAAAACAGTTTTAGGAGAACGAATTGAGCTTGTATTCCTTATGGGGAAAGCCTTAGAACCATCAGTGCAGGTACATAGGTATTAAGAAAATTGTATTAACAATTTTATACAGATAAATACATTGTAGGGTGCTATTTTGGCCGAAAGCCAACAATTTAATGATATTATTCAAGAAGACTTTACTGATTCCTATTATAACTTGACACTTAAATCAACTCTTATGTTAAAACTGGCATCAAGTAATTGCATGGATATGTCAAGATTTTTGTTTAAAATCGATGATGATATGTTTGTCAACATACCAAAACTAATGAGATTACTTATAGAGAGAAATAATTCTGAGAATGTTTTGTTAGGAAAGATGATGTGCCGAACTCAACCAATAAAAGATCCCACCAGTAAATGGTAAGTTAAATCAGAAAATAAGTTTAAGTTGCATATGTGATGTATTGAATGATACATGTAGTCATTTTAAATGTAAAGCCACAGATTACCCAGATGCGAAAGTTGACAAAGAACATCAAAATTAAGAGAGAGATAAATGGCCATACCCATTTAAAGGTCCCTCGTAGCAACACGTTTCCACTCGCGTAGTTCCGAAGGCAAAAGTTATTTCATTATGCGAAGTTGCCGATACTTCTAAGTTTTCTGATGTTATGTGACATTGGAATTTAACTCAAATGAAAATGTACATACATTTTTTAGTTACCCACACATACTTCGATTTTTTAGTATGTGGTTACCCCAGACGTTACATACAAATAACCTATAATTAAAATCCGCTAAACATAAAATAATACAAAACCATTTAAAGGTTTATAGTTTACATTTATCAACAGGGTTCGGAGAATATATATCAAGTGATATATATCATGATATACAGGGTGTCTGTAAAAGGTCTTTACAAAAACATACCACATATTCCTTATACCAAAATAAGTCGATTAAGGTACTCTTGATAAGACTCGATTACTCTCAGGGTTTTGACGAAATTTGCATTTTAGTAATTTTAGAACATAAACAATAATTATTAAAATACAAACTTTGTCAAAACCATGAGAGTAAATCGATTGTTATCAAGGGTACTTTTTTGTAGTAAATGAGTACCCAATCCAAATTTCATACTCAAACCCCTTTTTTGCCATTGGCGAAGAATTTTTAAAGTTGCAATTATTTAATAAATTAAGTTCTACGCCTATCTATTATTATCGGACAAAATTTTATACGATGAAAAACATAAAAATGTATTTTTTTCATATCTTCTTCAACACCTCTAATCGAGACTTTTAACAAAAATACTTGATTCTTGCCATGTACGATTTTTTGAGGAATATTAATTATTAATAATAATAATAATAATAATAATAGTTTATTTGTCCTTTAGGATCATGTTACATGATATAGGATAAGTCATAATATATATGAATAAAAAATATTAAAATACAAATATAGGTACAGTATACAAAATATATATATATATATATATATACTCGACCAGCGTATCATGTGACATCCAGCAAAAATTTTGACTTTGTGACATCCACCCTTTGCAAAGACTTTAGGAAAAAAATAAAAATATGACTTCTTTTAATTAAAAAAATATTATGGCTGAGCGAAAAATATCACAACCATACACATTTTAAAAAAATAAAACGTCCTATCGTTGTGAGATCCAAAGTATACACGGTATATATTTTTATTAACAACACTTTGTGACATCCATAAAAACCTTGCATCTTGTGACATCCAGTTGTTACGTCACAGTATACCATTTCTACAGAAAAACTGCCATTCTTATAACATCCAGCAAGTATATAGATACATTTTTAAATTAAGCATCTTATTACATCCTAAACATTTAACACGTTCAGCGCCAAAGCCGACCCTCAAAATCTACGATTTCTTATTGTTTTTTATTCCAATGTGATTTCTTTTGTTGTTTTGTATGTGATAAAATAATTCATTCTATTTTTAAATTATTTTCATTTTAGTTTTTGATTGTGTATATTTTTAGATACACTGGCACAAAAAATAGTTTTCGATGAAGTAACTTCTTGATATTTTTTTGATATGTGGAAATCCCTTATAGAGATTCGGTACAGGTTCTCCCTTTCCCAATAGTTTTACCCTTTACCCACTAAAATCATCACCTAAGCAAGTTATCGCCGGCCTCCTGCTAATATCTTTTACATGTTCGTTGGAACTATTTTAAGTATCTATCGACCTTATATGGTTGATTCTCCAGTTTCAAGTGCATTAACATAAATCCAGCGGTGTTTATTATTTTTACGCATAGACTACACTCACCGACTTAAAATTCGATCCATTCAAAATAATGATTTATTTAAAAATGCTCTAACTTTCAAATGCGGAGGCTGATTTAGATTTAGATAAAATACTGTAGTTTTAACATTATTATTCGGACATCTAAAAGTAATTTAGTACTCGCCGGATATACAGGGGGGAAAAGAAAATAATTTTTTCCTCTACTTTCGACACACCCTGTAGGTTAATTCTGCTAGCAGATCTGCACACAATGAACTTTATTAAGAAGACTAATTTGTTTCCAACATTTTGTTTTTTTATTTACCCCGATATCTTAATTTGTTTGTGAAATGTGACGGTTTAAAGAAAATGCAACATTCTTAATTTTTTTATTCAGTTTTAGCAGAGTAATACATAATTTTATAAACAACTCAAACAACAAATAAACTAATAATTATTACAAATTAATAACGGGTTTTCCCCACGAGCGCGAATAACTGCCTCAATGCGTCATGGCATACCCTCTATTAGATATCGAATCTTCATCTGGTCAATCTGATCCCATTCTTGGATCAAAGCATCTCTCAAAAAATTTAAAATACTTGGAGAAGGAACTCGGTTATGAACTCGTCTGCCCATCATGTCCCAGACGTGCTCAATTGGATTGAGGTCTGGGCTACGTGATGGCCAGTTCATCCTCTGAATTTCTGTTTCGTCCAAATATTGAGATACAATCCTCGCAATATGTGGTCGAGCGTTGTCATGCATAACATGAATTCATTTTCTATAAATGGTGCAAATGGAATTACATATGGATCTAGCACATCATGAATATATCGGTAAGCTGTTATTACTCCTCCGCCAACAATGACTAAATCAGTACGAGCTTCCATGATTATGCCGCCCCAAACCATTACCGATCCTCCTTCATAACTGAGTATTGTGGAAAAATTTGCTTGGTCAAACCTTTCGCCTCTTCTTCGGTATATTCGTTAAACAAAACCTTGACTCGTCAGAAAATAAAATCTTACTCCATTCATCGATATTCCAATGTTAATGCTCCCTGGCAAATCGAAGACGTGCTGTTCTGTGATTCCTAAGTAACTCTGGACCAGTTGCAGGTCTTCTGGAGCGTAATCCATGTTCTCGTAATCGCCTTCGAATCGTTATTTCGTTAACAGCTAGTTGACGTACTTCTTCTAAACGGTTTCGAGCCATGACAGCAGTAGTATTTCTTTCTCGCAAAACATTTAATGTCATAAAACGATCATCTCGAACATTTGTAGAACATCGTCTGCCACATTCTCGAAAAACTACCAGTTTCATTAAAACCTTGTACAACTCTCTGGACGCTACACCTTGTAACACCCAATATTCTAGAAGTATAATACTGAGTCCTATCGTCTTGTACCAGAGCAACTGCTCATGTTGCATCAGTAAGCGTTAAAACCATGATATTATGCTGATAATGAATAATAATTAAACTGCAATTGCCAAGTAACGAATATTTGACAGTTGTCATATTGTGAGTTGGCCACAGCACTCTACTTATTTTGTAGTTTATTCTGTACAGTCATTTAAATTATGACCGTTTCTAAAATGTAGCATTTTCTTTAAACCGTCACATTTCACAAAAAATAAAGATATCGAGGTAAATAAAAAAAAAAGTGTTGGTAACAAATCAGTCTTCTTGATAAAGTTAATTGTATGCAGATCTACTAGCAGAATTAACCTACAGGGTGTGTCAAAAGTACAGAAAAAAATTGTTTTCTTTCCCCCCCCCCCCGTTTATCCGGCGAGTACTAAATTACTTTTAGATGTCCGAATAATAATCTTAAAACTACAGTATTTTATCTAAAAGTTACTAAAAACTTCAAATAAATAAGCCTTTGAAAGTTAGAGCATTTTTATATAAATCATTATTTTGAATGGATCAAATTTTAGGTCGGTGAATGTATTTTACTACAAACATTTTTAACTTCAAATTATTACTTTCCAGTTACACAAAAAAGTACATTTCTGAATTAGTTAAGTTCGTTTCCATATTTAAAGAGACCAGAAAAAACTAAAATTAGTCATGTTATTGTACAATGATTTTACTGCTAAAATATAACGTTTAAATTTTTATTTTTGAGCATTTTGGAGATAAAAAATGAAACTAAAGGGGTTTTTAAGTAACTTCAATACGTTATAATGAGGATAATTTAATTCCAACTGAATTTTTAAAAGCTATATATTATGTTGGTACTTTTATATATCTGTGCCTATCAGTAACTACCAAAAGCAATGCTTTGAATCAATTTTGCCTAGAGTCTAGCGATTATGTTGGTACGGCATGCAGTGATTAATTAAAAAGTAATGATTATATTTGGTCTTAAATATGGACTTGTAAGTACATTTTATTGTAGTGTACACGCATAACATGTAACTTTTAAAAATATGCTTAGTTTAAAAATAATATAAAAACAGTTAATTTTAGTAATAAAATCATCTAGTAAAAATTAAAAGCATATAATTATTTTTTTTGTGCTTTTTCCAAATATGGATACAAATTTAGCGACTTGTAGTGTGTTCTTATAAGGATAGACAAATTTTTAAATTTTTTTGAAAAGATGGAACTGCATTTTGTTTCTTATTAATACGTTAATAGATTATGGTAAGTTGTAGAGAATACATGTGCCAAATTTCAATAACATGTAAGGGTGGTTAGTAAGTTATGAAACAAAAAAGAAATTGGCAAAGTTAATAAAACTACCTGTATCTTGGTTATAAATGACGAAAGAATCATTAAGTAAGGTTATTTGGAATAATATCAGTAGCATAAAAAAACTAAGTATTAAAAAAAAGAGTGAAGTAAAACTTCGTAGATTAATTCACTCTAAAATAAAAAGACAAATAAAATCCGCGTACATCAATATTTATCGCTACTTGAACATACTATTAAGGTTATAACTCTAAACAGCAAGGCACCGACGATGCACGAAAGACGATAGTTTGCAGTCGAAATTGGAGTTCAAGTGGAGGACTAGGCTGTTAAGGTGTCAGGAAATCTAAATTTGTCGTTTTTATAAGTTAGCTCATCATATTTTTTATGTTAGGTCGAACCGTAAGAAGTGCTAATTATTTATTTTAATCTATGT